TTTTAGGTCATTATAGTGAACATGAGAATATAGTCCCAATCGAAAGAAGTATTGAATTTGCTTCTAAATTCCCAGATGAAATTAAAGATAAAAGACAATTACAAAGATTTTTGGGAAGTTTAAATTATTTAACAGACTTTTATCAAAATCTTTCACAAGGTACTGCTATTTTATATTTTAGACTTAAGAATAATTTGTCTCCTTGGACAGATCTTCATACAGAAGTAGTTAAAAAGATAAAACTTAAAACTAAATATTTATCTTGTCTTTCACTAATAAAATCTGAATGGTATAAAATTGTTAAAACTAATGCCTCAAAAAAAGGTTAAGGAGATATTCTTAAACAAAAGGATCATAATTCCAATAAAGAATTACTGGTAAGGTTCACCTCAGGCAAATGGGAATCCATTCAATTAAATTATTCTACTATTAAAAAAAAAATTATCCATTTTTAAATGTGTTAGTAAATTTCAAGATGATTTACTAAATCAAGAATTTTTACTAAGAATTGATTGCAGCTCTGCCAAAAAGATTCTTGAACATGTTAAGAATATTGTTTCAAAATAGATTTTGCAAGATGACAGACTATTCTATCTATTTTTAATTTTAAAATTGAATATGTTAAAGGAGAATTAAATTCTCTTCCCAATTTTCTAACTAGGGAATTTTTGCAGGGTCTTCATGAATCGAGGTCAAAGTAGTACCCATGGTAGAGGCCACGAAAGAGGAAGGTCTAGAGGAAGAGCCCATGTCAATGCTTATTATCCCCTCTTTTAACTGAATCACAAAATCTTAAAGCTGTTAATAATCAACTTCTTAAATGTAAATCTTCATCTTCACATAAATATGAAGATTAAGATGATGATGGTTATACTGTCGTTAGATCTAAAAATTCTATTAAAGAGGCTCAGCCAAACCTAAACTAAATTACACTGAGTTAAACACTCTGCTTACTTGTAGCAGTATAATGACTCTTGATTATAAGTATGTAAATTAGATGACTGATCCATATTATATTGCTGGTAGATTTATGACAATGAATCCATAATTCTTATTTTCTGGAAATAAAGACGGAGAATATTATGAAAATATTTTGATTAAGACAGACTCTGTTAAATTCTAGTGATTCTTCCATTATAATTCAGATCATAAAGATCCTCAATATAGTAAAGTCCTCATATTAAGGGTAATATCTGCTAAAGACTTGGGTCTTAACCTTATTATCCCTAGAACACTAAGAAATCCTCCACATACGGAGTATAAGTATTTGATTATATTGAAGCTTGAAATAATGCTTTCTTATATAAGGCTATAAATTTAAAGCATTCATGGTTCTTTCAATTCACTGAAACCTATACGGAACTTCCTAATTGGTTTTATGATTGGTAGGAAACCAATGGTGCTATCGACAGGATACCCTGAACCTATGAAAAAATTATTTGACTCGTATAAAGACAAAAGTTCATCCTTAAAGGATAATGATATAGTAGTCAAGTCAATTATTCATTTCTCATTCGAATTCTATGTTCCATGGATTTGGTTGTGGATATTGGCCTGTGATTTTAATTATAACGGACATCCTAGATTAATCAGGGAATATCATGTTCGTTTCTGGAATAATTATCTGCTTGAATCTAAATGTCAAGTCATAGCGGAATGTCTTAAAGACATAGATAAAGAGAAATATAAAGCTTCAACTTTTACAGCCATTGTTTTCACTACCAATATAAATACTATAACGAATTTTAACCCTATTGAAGTTCTTAAAGAACAAATTAAAAAAGAAAAACTTCATTTAAACACTGAACAACTTAAAGTAGCAATTATGGAGAAGATATGTCTTCAGGTGATGTCTACATTCAGAATAGGCAAAATCGAAAAGATGGATCTAGCTGACACTCCAACAGTTGCCATAAAAGGCAAAAGGAAAGATAAAGTTGAGGAGGATAATAGGAAATCATCCACTCTTATTGACTCTGATAACGACTTTATGGATTCTCAGGAATATACCCCTATTAAAGGTGACATCTCTATTAATGAAAATTTACTAAATTATGATATGAAGATAAATCTCCATGATGACAACAGTAATATACTGTATAATTTGTTTTGCAGGAAATGATCAGATAAAACTGAAGTCTCGGATAAAGCCGACCTAAAAGTGTGACAAACGTCATGACATCACAATAAAATTATTGTACTTGTACCGTAAAAAGTGTACAGTGTCATTGATGTATGCAATGACGTCACTATAAATTATTAAAGTTGTGAATAGTTTAGGTTAGTTTGAAACCGAATTTCATGTCTGGCTCTATATAAAGAGATACAAGTCCGACCTGTGGAGCACCGCATCTTGACCGCCTTTCATACCCACTCTTTCCCGCACCCACTCATTCCCCTTTCTTTTCTTGCACTTACTCTGAATCCTTCTTTCTTGTAAAAATCTCCATCTTCTACCTTCTACCACTATTACTGTAAGTGTATTTTGTGCAAACTACAAAAGTTATCGGCGAAAGTTTTTATTTGATGTAAACTTATGTACAAGTGAATATCATCCGAGTAAAACCCACCGAAAAAATTGATGAGAATGAAGGTCCACCTTTCACTGTGTCACTTATATTTATTTATTCGGAATGAAGGTTCCAATTTAGCTGATGTGGCAAATCATATAAAAACAGAGGGATACCGTATGTTTACATTCAGTTTACCTTTCATAAGTTGATTTTTAGTTGATTAATGAGTTTTTTTTTAACTTCAAGGATATTTTCTTAAAAATTAGAATTTTTCTCTAAAAATTGAGAATAAAAAGGAAAAATTACTAATAAGTACTCATTTTCCCTACAAATATCACTTAAGTCCTGTCATTTTTATTTTATATCAATGAAGTTTTATTTTTAATATTTTATTTTAATTATGTCCCAATTCCATTATATTTCAATGTTATCCTTACCTTTTAGTTATCAAAACTCTTTTATTCTTTTGTATTCTTAGAATCAATTAATAAAATATTGCAGTTCTAAATCAATATTTATTTAAGCTAATTCTTACAATAATTATTTTCTGTTAATTTATATTGTATTTAAAATAATTAAGTTAAGAATTTAATTTACTTGTTGTGTTTGAATCGATAATGACATTAAAATATAATTAATCATCAAATATTATTGATATAATTTATTTTAACCTTTCTTATTTTATTAAATAATCGGTAAATATTGTGTCGAGTTATAAACTTAGTTACCTTAATGAGATAAGAAAAATAAAAAAAAATGTGAACTTTCTTTGGATCTTACCATGAAGTTTATGTAGCTGAGTTTTTTTTATGGGGTTTTAATGTTGATTTGTAAGCAAGAAATTTTTGTCTTCTTCATTGTTTTTAAAAATGCAAAAGAATGAAAGGGTTTTAGTAACTAAAAGGTAACGATAATATTGGAATATAATAGAATTTAAAACTTAATTGAAATAAAATATCAAGGATAAGACTTCATTGATATAAAACAAAAAATGATAAGGCTTAATAAATTTTTATAGGAAAAAGTAATACTTATCGATAATTTTCCCAAATAAAACTGATTCCCTCCTCATGGTCGGTCCTTAGGCTAGACAATAAAAGTCCTCACATAAGGCCTTATATTTTTTTGGGCCTCAATTTTTTTTAATATTTAGATTTACTTAATTTTAAATTATTTATAAAAGTTTTAGATTCAAGATTAATTAAGTCCATATTTATTTTCAAGGTCCCAAATAAAATTTTTAGATCAATGTTCAATCAAATCAAATTTTATTTTTTGAGCCCCAAAATTGTTTTTATTGACGCAAGTTCAATGAAGTAAAATTTTACTTGTACGAGCTTTTTACTAACATGAGATTCATTATATTAATCATAACACTATTAATGCCTTAGAACTAACATGAGATTCATTATATTAATCATAATACTATTCATGCCTTAGAACCTAGCATGCATAATAAAATTATGTAGTTTTTTTTTTCATATATTATTTTCAACTATTTGAAAAGTATGTACTTTAATTTTTCTTTTTAGAATTTGATAGTCTTTTGATAAGTCAAATTTATTAATGGCTTCTTTCTGTTGTCATGACAGCATAAGCATCACTAGATTATCTAGTATTAAATTTCAAATCCACCCCTCTTACTATTTTGTTGACCATTAGTAAAAAATTTGAATACAAAAATTTAAATAGTTAGTTGGCATCTCAAATAACAAGAAATTTATTTTAAAATAAATCTATTTTAATATTTTAATAAAAATAAAAAAAATTATATATTTTCATAATAATCATAATTAATTGGCCTCCGCCAAGAATTTCGCCTAGGACATCCATTTGACTCGGGCCGGCCCTCCTCTCACGCCTGGTCGCCACCTCTCATAGCCAACTTAATTTCTAAGCAACTATAGAATCTTACAAGTTGGAAAAAAGAATAGCAGATGCATCCACCTTTTCGATTTGGTCCAAGTTATAAACAAAGTAGAGATTACAAAAAAATAAAAAAACACACACAAACCCCTCCCTCATTCCCTTTGTATGGTGTGTATTTTTAATTTAATTTATTAACCTAATAATATGGCAAATAACACGATCTAATGCCATTATTTTAACTTCAAATTTCAAACTATTTATCCGAACATATCATTTGATAAGTTTTTTCAGCAGGCTTGGAAGAGAGAGAGGGAGAGCTTAATCAAGTAGTAGCAATAAAGGTACTAGAGGCGAGCTAGAACTACTACTAAATTAAGTAAATACGAGTGGATTCGTTAATCACCCGAACCTGATTCTCCCTTGCAAATAATGTTATTTTACAACCGATAAGGGGGGTCAGTAACTTTTGGAATCTAGATGCAACAAAGGTAGATCCGAACCCAGACCCAGTCCTCCGTGGTCCCCTTAGTTATCCTTATCTTAAATTAGGTTAAAAATGGAAGTCACTTAAATAACTAAAACTGCTTCGTGCTTCTTTGCAACAGACATTTAGCGTGAGAACCAAGCAGTATGTGAATATAATAACATTACTATTTTGCATAATGAATCCAACTCCTCACCCTATAAAGAAACTTCCCCTGCTGATATCTCCCTCCACAGCACTGCTAAGCAAGGTCTCTCTCTCTCACTCATGGCTTGGTTGAATTTGAGGAGGCTTTTACCAACTATAAAGGCATGGAAGGACTTCACCACCAAACTACAAAGCAAACTGCACAAGCTTAACAGATCCAAAGCCATCAAGAAACCAAGAAATCATACCAACCTTACAAGTAAAGCAGTTTTCCGGCCTTCCTTGCGCCTTCAACCCCGTCTCAAACGTCAAAGAGGGACACTCCAACCAGGCCATGCACTTCGCTACAATCACCGTTATCGCCTCCAAAAGAGACCTAAGCCTGTATGTATCGACCACCTTTTAGTCGAGCCTGTACCGGTGGTGAGGGAGACCACAACAGTAAGCAAGGAGGCTATAGAGAAATGTTCAACAAGTGCAAATAAAACCGAGCACACCAATCAGCAAACCAGAGAGCAAGGAATGATCAAGGAAGATGATGACTTCGGAAAGGACCATTCAGCAGATGACTTGTGGGAATCAATGGTGTTGGCATCACCACAGATGCGTGGAATTAACGAGAGAGCAGAGGAGTTTATCACTAGATTCCGGGGAGAGATGCAGCTTCAGGAGATGATAGCTCGTCACTTGTAGTTTAAAACAGATACTTTTAACGATAGTGTACTTAATTCTTCTTTCGTCTGTTTACTGTAAATTTAAGTACTGCAATAATAAAGTAGAGGGGTTTGATAACAGCTTCGCCCAACTTTGCAACTGCATATACCATAAGTCCTAAAAGAACAAGATTTGCCAAAACATAAAGAGGCCACGCGGAACCCGAGGATTCAGCTGTGTGGTCTAAGGAGAGAGAGAAAGGGGGGAGGGGGAGGGGCGCTGGCCTGCAGTCGAGGCTGCATGAGTCACACCCCCAAGTAGAGAGTGGAGCTTGTATCAAGGTCACAAGGGGCACCAGAACTACGGTTTTGGGGTTTAAGCACAGTATCTATTGGGGAGGAAAAATGAAAATATAAACACTTATACTGCGTTTGGTACGTAGGAATGGACCTTGGGAATGAAATGAGCATTACCAAGTAATTCACAATCCTTAGTTTGGTTGATGATAATGAAATTTGATTCCCATTCCTATAGAATGATAAATCCCATGGGCCAAGTGATTAGCCATTCCCCACCAAGACATGGTATTGGTCATTGCCAAAGAAGCGGTAATAAGCCCAAACTTCCTTGGACCAAAAGCCCGACTCTCCCATCGTTCTTTTCTGCCCCGACCACTCTCTGCTTTGCACCTATGCCTCTTCCAATCCCTCGTCTCTTCTCCTCTCCTCGCCACTGCATCTCTCCTCATAGAGATCTATGGTGTCCCCATCGTCCCTCCCTGTCACTTTATTCGCTGAAGCAATGCACTAGATCCACGACCAAGACCAGATCAAATTCGACCTTTGCAACAAATCTCAGGTAATTTCTCCTTCTCTTCACTACTAATCTTTATTTTCAAGGTTTCGACACCACCTACGAAACTAATCTTCTGCACCGATACAAATTTATTCATTTTTTTCTAGGGTTTTGGAGACATGAATTTGATTTACAAGCACATACTTTGTTTGCTTCTTCTCTATATTGTTCACTTTTTCACATAGATTGTTGAATATATCTATAAACATATGTAAGTGTTTTCATATATTGTTGCAGCAGTGCCTATTTGTAATTGGGTTGTGGTGATTTGGGCCTTGCTTTGAAGGTGTTTGAAAAAATGTTTGACAGAAGCATGGTTTACTAGATTTCTATAATTGATGGGTTTTTTTTTTGTGTGATAATAATAGACCCCTTAAGGCTATAAAATTATTCCAAAAAATGGTGGACTATGTATTTAGCAATTTCTAATAAGTAATATGTAGCTTGCAAGCTAGAAGCATGCAAACATGGTTGTATAAATTTCATGTACCTGATCCTCTGTATCTTGAAGATGTTGGATTTCACTTACTGTTGAATTATATAATCTTCATTAGGCACGTATCTTTCAAATTGCAATGAACAAAATGTATGCATGTGTTCAATAAGAATGGTATATAGACAAACATTCACCATTATATAGCTTATTTCTGGAATGTGAGCAACCAATGTCTCAACTTCAGTATCTCATAACCACCCAATTAGCCAAACCTCCATTCAGGTATAAAGACTGAAGACAAGTTTACAATCCAAAAACAGAAGAAACAAAGATCATATTTGGCTCCTTCATATGCTCCAAAATTTGGGACACATCACTGCCAACAGCTCAATGAAACAATAACAACCAATTTGAATGAAAGCCAATAAGTTTATTGTAAGGCTTTTCTGGTGAAGCCATTGCTCTATCAACAATTGCTTGTATTGTGAGGGATTATATGCACAGAAGTGGTTGATTAGATTCACAAAAGAAAACCTAACAGAGGCTGAATGGTGTACTTTAACAATTGGTGGAGATTGTACGGTAGCAAAACACAAGCTATATGATTATATCGAATTAGAACATTCAATAAAGACAAAGGGGATTGAATACATGATACTATTAAAAATACGTATGAAATTCAAATCAATGGCTGGCTTAAAGTTTAACACTTAATTTAATTTCCCCCCCCCTCTCCTTTTGCTGTTAGAAAATTTTGTTTTCACATACTCCTGTGAACAATTTTACATCTGCAATTTGAAAATCTAATTTTTTTGCTTTGTTTGTGATATCCCAAATACTGATTTTTTCTTTGTAATTTTTTGTGACAGTTATGGCTCGTTTAAGTCTAACAAGAAAGAAAATGATAAAGAAGAAGAAATTGATTGCATTATTTGTGTTGTGGACCAAAATCATGCATTTAATCAATTGTTTTTTCTATATGATGTTTACTGTCATCCTTTACTATATGAAAAAAAAATCATTAAGATATCAAAGGTATCACAATAACTTCTTTGCAAGGAGGACTATTATTGTGCTTATGCCAGTGATGACGTATGTGCTTCTCAACTTAGAATGAATAGACGAGCATTCATTAGATTATGTTCCATGCTTGAGACAATAGGAAAGTTAAAACATACCAAAAACATGGAGATTGATGAGCAAATGACTATTTTCTTGCATATCCTTGCACATCATGTCAAAAATTGAGTTATAAAACAATGATTTAAGAGGTCTAATGAGACTATTAGCAGACACTTTCAGAATGTATTGAATGTTGTGATAAGATTGCAAGGCCATTTGCTCAAGAATTCTGAGCCAGTACTAGAAGATTCCATAGATGAGAAATGGAAGTGGTTCAAGGTCGTTAACCTTGTCTAAATTAATTTTATGTTCACGCATTTGAACATGTATGGAAATATGATTCCTATTTGATTTTTGAATTTTTAGGGTTGTGTTAGAGCCTTAGATGAGACATATATAAGTGTTCATGTGCCAATAGAGGACAAGCTTAGGTATCGATCCCAAACAAGAGATATTGTTACTAATGTCTTAGGAGTATGCTCACAAGACATGAGCTTTATTTATTTATTACCTGGTTGGAAAGGGTCAGCCGTAGATGGTAGGGTGCTTAGAGATGTCATGATTAGAAGGAATGGGTTGGTGGTGAATCGTGGTACCTACTACCTTGTGATGGGGGATATACCAACGGTGAGGGAATTCTTGCCTCATTTAGAGGTCAAAGGTATCACTTAAAAGAATGGAAAGATGGTCACTAACCTAGGACACTTGAAGAGTTCTTTAAAATAAAAAATTCTTCTGCTAAAAATGTAATTGAAAGATATTTTGGGCTATTGAAGAAACGTTGAACTATTTTAATAAGCCCGTCTTTCTACCCCATCAAATTACAGATCCGTATAATAATAGCTTGTTGTTTGCTTCACAACTATATCAAGGATCAGATGTCAATAGACCCAATCGAGGCAGAGGTAGATGCAACAAGTCTCGTGGTGAAAAATGAAGCATATGATGATCGTATTGCCACAATTGAAACATCTAATGAGTGGTCAACATTTAGATTGAATTTGACAAACAAAATGTTTGCTGAGTGGAGAACATGTAGACAAAGAGTGTAATTTTTTGTACATATATTTGAGAATGATTTTGTTTCTTGGAATTCTACCTCCACTGCTATTGAAATGAAATAAATGGAATTTAAGAATTTATGTTTTTATTCAACTTGTTTTTATTTTTTGTATACTGTTGATTATTTTTTAGACTTGTTTTTCATCGATTTATTTTTTGGTTCAACCTACATGTTCGGATGAAATTCCTAGTTGTCATGATAGTTTTCTTTTTGGGTTGACACATGTGCTCTATTGAATTTATAAAGAACTATAGTTGTTCCTTTGAAATGAATGATCAATTTTGAATAGTTTTTTATTTTGATTTCTTTTTGTGAACCTATTTTTGAAGGAATTTGTTTTCTAATTTTTAAAAATTTATAGGAGTTTAATTTTTTTTCAATAGATTCTTATTTTTTCTAATCATAAATTTTTTTTCCACAACTTTTAAAGGCAATCGCAATCATAAAATAAAAATTTATTAAATTATTTTTAGTCACTATGAATATTGTAGTTAAGGTTGATTCCATTCCAATGAAAAAATTGGTTTATCCAAACATAAAAAAGGAATGAACATTCTATTTCAGCACTTAATCCTAAACAGCTGTTAAACATTGGAATGATAATGCGTATTTCATTCCCAAACTCATTTCATTCTTACTAAGAAGCATTACCGTGTACCAAACGTAGTGTTATGCTCCATTTGGTATGATGAAAAAATTGAATGATGAAAAGTTTGAAGGATGAAAAGTTGGAGGAATAAATAAAACATCATGTTTAGTAATGAATGAAAATAAGAAGGATGGAAAAGTTGATGGATTAACTTTCCTTCCAACTCACCAAAATCAATCCCTTCAAAATCGGAAGGAAAGTGGATGAAAAGTTTATTATTTGTGTTGAGATATATCTTATTTGTCTATATATCTTATAATATATACATATATTATGTATACATTAATTTCATATAAAAATACAATAATAAAATATGTATTTATATATATATAAAATTTAAAAAAAAAAATTAAATTTTAAAAAAAAAATTCATTTTAATTAGGGGTGAAAATTTTCGACTCATCACGATGACACGACTTGAACTCAACACAAATTTTATGATATAAACTTGATTATAATTCGACATGAACTTAAAAATGACCTATCAAGCGAACAAGAAATATAAAAGGCTCATATTCAGTTGACAACATCAATTCGTTTATTTAAAAAAAAATATTTTCTCTATTTTCTTGTTTGTATGGTAACACGAAACTAACATATTTAATTAGTATTATAGACATAAAATATTAATTATTTGTAACAAATTATTAAGCACTGACATAATTATTATATAAAAAGATATTTTTATTTTTTATTATTAAATTTATTTAAGTTAATTTTTAGTTTGTAAAAAAATTATTAACATGGATTTAATTAAGTGAAAATAGAATATTAGCGTTAAATTTTTTATTCAAAGTTTATGTAGATCAATACGAATACGAACACGACACAACACAATTAGTTAAATGAGTTGAATTAGGTTTGACTAATGTTCGACACAAACCCGTAATAATTCAATACGAATCTGATACGACACGACTCGATTATCATCCCTAATCTTAGCTGGCACAAAAAAAAAAATTAGTCATTTTTGTTTTTCATCCATCCTACCAAACATAAATGAAGGAAAATGTATCATTTCTACTTTTCTTCCTTGAATGATAGAAAGTGTATCCCTCCTATTTTCCATCATTTCTACTTTTTATCCTTCTTACCAAATGGAGCATTAGTGTTGCATGATGCTAATATATATATTCTATTCATTAAAATTGAGAAAACATTAGGGGAAAAGTGGTGATTGAGTACCATATTGCTAGGGTTTCAGTCACCATGGGCCAAGAGCATAGCAGTTAAGGATGTCGATGGCCCAGGCCAGGCCTGTGAAATCTTTTTCGGGCCACGCCTAGGTAGTGTAGGCTCAGGCCTTACCCAAATAAGTTATCAGGAAAGCTGGGTCGGGCTTCGGGTAGGAGTAGGCTACCCACAACCCAACTTGTGAGCCTATTGGACAGGCCTATTCACGGACTTTTTTATATACAAATTCATTTTAAAATAATGAATATTTTTGTAATATAATATTTGTATAAATTATATTTTTGAATCAAAAGTAGAGTCAAAATGAATAAAAATAAATAATGAATAATTTTATTTTTAATTAGAGAATGAATTATATCTAATAGAATGAATACATCTCAACTAGGTTGACACCTACTCACTTATCTATAATTTCCATTACTCTATCATTTAAAACTTGTATGCTTAATACATGAAAAATAAAATAATACATTATTTATAGTATCTAAATTTAAAACTTCAAATACCAACATTGGAAGACTTATTTCAAAATTTTAAATTTAATGGTCTAAAAGTATAATTTTTTTTTCAAAGAAAGGGTGAGTGAGCTCTTGGTCCAGGTTTTAACGAGTTTTTTTTTGGGCGGGCTATTGGGTCGGGCTTCAGGCCGAGTAATAAGTTTGGGGGCAAATTCAAGCTTTTTTTTTTTTAAAGGATATTAGGCACGGGCTTGGGCAGACCAATTATTAGGTCTATTTGATTTTGAATCTATTTTTTTTCGGGCCGAGTAATGGGACCCATGGGTAACCCGCCCCATGGACACTCCTACATAGCAATTGGTTCTTGATCCATGAATTCAGTTCGCTATTGTTTATTGAAGACTAATCAAACCAAACTAAGTCTTATGTTCTAATTATTTGGGGTCGCCATTCACTTCAAACATGTACTATACACTCAATTAAGCTAAATATTTTCGTATATTTTCTTGTTATTTTATTCAATGTTAATATAGGTCTACCCCTACTTTTAGTACCATTAAGAGAGATTATCTCACTTTTTCGAACCGGTGCCTCTATTGGTTTTTGTTGAACATGATCAAACCATCTTAATCTATTTTCTCTTAACTTGTTCTCAATTGGAGCTACTCCTACAGTTTCTCTAATACGATCATTTCTTATTCTATCTTTTCTAATTTTTTCACACATCCACCTTAGCATTATCATTTTTGCTACACTCATTTTGTCACTATGTTGTTTTTTAGTTGCCCAACATTATGTCTTATACAACATTGTTGTCCTTATAGCTGTTAACTTACTTTTCAATTTTATTAGTATCTTTTTATTACATAATATGCCAGAGGCTTTCCTCCACTTAAGACAACCGGTGTTGATTCTATAAGTTATATCATCTCCGATCTCTCCATAATTTTTAATAATCGATTCTAGATATTTAAATTGTTTACTCGTTGGTATTTCTTGATTTTCAATCTTAGCTTTTTCACTATATCTACTTATTTTATTACTAAAATTACAAATACATATATTCAGTCTTACTCTTACTTATTTTAAACCCTTTCGACTCGAGTGTCTCTCTCCAAATTTATAACTTATTGTTAATTCCCTTTCGAGTTTCATCTTCTAATACAATATCGTTTACAAATAGCATATATAGTGGGACATCATCCTAAATGTGTCTAGTGAGTTCATCCATAATTAGGACGAATAGGCATGGATTTAGGGCCGATTCTTGGTGTAATCCAACCGTGATTGAAAATTTTTTACTTTCTCCCGTGAAAGACCTAATTGTAATCATAATCCCGTTATACATGTCCTTTATCACCTCAATATACCTATTTGTCACTATTTTTCTCTCAAGAACTTACCATATTATATTTCCAAGTACTTTATCATACGTCTTTTCTAGATTTATAAGTACAAAATGAATATTTTTCTTATTTTCTCTATACTTTTCTATGAGTGTCCTCAATAAATATATAGCCTCTATAATTGATCTACCCGGCATAAACCCAAACTAATTTTTTGACACTGTAATCTCAACTCTTGGGCACCGTTCAATGACCCTTTCCCATAATTTTATTATATGACTCATCAATGTTATCCCTTTATAATTATTACAATTTTGAATATCTCCTTTATTTTTTATTTTTATAGATAGGTACTAAAAATACTCTTTCTTCATTTATCGGGCATTTTCCTAGTAGCAATAATTCTATTGAATAATTTCATTAACCACGACACCCTCTCATTCCCGAAGCACTTCCAAACCTCAATTGGAATCTCATCCGGTCTTAAAGCCTTACCTAATTTCATTTTCTTCAATGCAAACTCTACCTCTGAATTCTTTATTCTACGAAAGAAAGTTTTATGGATCCTACTATTTTCTATCTCCTCTAGATTTCCTAAGTGATTTTCGTTTAATAATTTCTCAAAATAGTCTTTTCACCGATCATTTATTTCTTCATCTGTAACTAAAACATTTGAGTCCACACCCTTGATGCACTTAACTTGGTTAAAGCCTCTTATTTTCCTTTTTCTAATTTTAACTAGTTTGTAGATGTCTTTTGCTCCGTTGTTACCATCTAGTTTTTTGTACAACTCATCGTAGGCTTTTAACTTAGAATCTTTAACTATCTTTTTAACCTCTTTGTTAGCTAATTTATATCTTTGAAAATTCTCTTTATCTCTATCATTTTGTCATCTCTTAAAGGATTCTTTCTTTACTTTAACTACCTCTTGTATGTCACCATTCCATCACCAAGTTTCTTTTCCCACAAATCCTCTATCCTTTGACTCCCCAAAAACCTCTCTCGAAATTTTCCTAATATCTTCTATCATCCTACTCCATATAACGTTAGTCTCATTCTCTAGGTTCCATAAGGCCTCTTTAAGCATTCTACTCCTAAATAGTACTAATTTCTCATTTTTTAAATTCCACCATGTCGTTCTTATTTTTTTTAATACTTTTCCTTACTCTATGCTGCCCTTTAGTATATAAATTTAAGATAGTTAACATATGTTAAGATGTTAAGCTTTCTTCCAGGATAACCTTACAATCTTTACATGTTAATCAGTTCGTTCTTCTACTTAAGAAATAGTTTACTTGACTTTTGTTTGGTCTGCTCTTAAAAAGTTATTAGATGTTCTTCTCGTTTTCTAAACAAGATATTTGCCACTACAAGATCATATGTCATTACAAACTCTAAAATACTCTCTCCGTCTTCATTTCAATCCCTATATCCATAACCACGACTCCTCTTATATTGTGTCCTATCTTTTTATACATATCCATTGACATCTCCACCTATGATTATCTTTTCTCCTCTAGGTATATATTGAACTAACTCAACCATTTACTCCCAAAATTATTTTTTAATATGTTCCTCAATCTCTACTTTAGGTACATAAGCACTAATCACATTAATTGTATTCTCTCCGACAAGAAGCTTGATAAATATAATCTTATATCATTTTCTTGTAACTGCTACTACGCTATCTTTTAGACTTTTATCTACAACTATTCCTACTCCATCTCTTCCTTTATCCTTTTCTGTATAGTAAAACTGAACAGCCATCTCCCTCAGCCAATTTAACATCATGTATATGAACTCAAATAACAAGTACAATATATTGTCACAACAAATTCGAATGTACCTGACGCTAAGGAAGCGTAAGTAGGTCTTACATTGACTATATACAATAAAAAACATGCACAAAACAGGGTTCAACCTGTATAATAAAATCTGTCTGGTGTCCTCGGTAACCGATTGCCGAGAGGGAATCAGAGTCTGAACTCAATGCAGAAATTCCTTCATTGGATCATCCTGGTGAACCTTTTTCATCCTGTAAGCCTCCATCTCCTCAGCAGTAACCTGCAAAAAACAAAGAGATTGTGATAAACGCCACAAGCAAACAAGTATAGTGGCAACAAATCTTAGATTAAATTTGCCAATAAGAGAAAGCCAGACAAACCTCATCATTGTACTTGACATTATATTTGCGCTTCCTCTCATCTCTCTCTTCTCTCCTCCTTTCATCCTCCTGTTCAGATTAAACAATATTGAGTCAAACTCTACTGTATTTACAAGCATCTAAAAACAAACGCATGACCACATTTGAGAAAGAGTATGCCTCGAAAGCCAATGTAAGTCAACCTGACACCTATCGACCCCAATATGACCTCATTACAAGATCAAGGTCTGTCTTTTATTGTTTTCTGAATGTACAGGATAGCCAATAAACCCAGACAGGGTCAACCTAAGCAAGCTTTACATCTCATGAAAAATTATGATAAATTAAAACCACTTTCCACCCATACAACTCCAAAATCATGTGCATGTTGATGTTTTTTTTTTTGTTTTGTGGGCGTGGGGGTGGGGGTGGGGGTACAAAGAGGAGGAGAAAAAAAGGTGGGGGAGGGAGAGAGAGAGGGGATAAAGGGGATCTTGTAGAGGAAGAAGGAGAAGGATAACAAAATGCAACTTAAATTTACCTTTTTCAGTGCTTCACCCAATTTTTTCTGGTCCAGAACCAAATCATCTGGCACATCAGTTCCCCAGGTAGCAAGTTTCTTCTCCTCTGTTGGTGGAGGCATCTCTGGTTTCGTAATACAGTGTCAGACCAAATAACAATGAATATATACTAACATTTTATGTTCGAGGCAGACAGAAACACCAAAGTAAAATAAAATCAATATCACAAAAGGAAATATATCTTACAAAGAAATATAAAAACTGAACAACAAAGTGCTCTAACAATACAATTACCAAGGAGTGTCAATTAATCAACATGTACAATAACCATATGAAAATCAATGGAAATTAACAGGAACATAACAACATTAACTCGCACAGCCATTCTGATTATCAAACAAGCACTTGGACTTCAATTGGATATAAGAAAGGATCCAATAAAGATATTGGAGGGGAAGAATTACCAGTGCCATAAGGACATAATATCAGCAAAAGCATCTAGCCAGCAAAATTAAGATTTAGGGATAATTTCATGTACAAGAACTGATTACAAAAAGTTAACTTTTACTGATGTCGGCTAGACAATATTCAGCCAGCAATGTGGGGCATGTCAGCTAGACATCCGCTTGATGATGTGTTCGGCCACCGGGTCCATGTCGCCTTTTAATTCATCACATGGGGATTGCTACAAGGTTGGATTCAAATTCAAGAATTTCACGTGGGCGTAAAACACCTCCAAATCAGAGTTAATGTCATTATAATTTAGGCAGAAAGTCGGCCTAGGAGTGGCCTAGAAAGATACCAAGAATTTTCAAGCATTATGACATCAACACACTTGAAAGCCCAAAAGTCCATCCCAAAACCACTTTTACAATGATGTTAATGACAAATACATCAAACTTCTATTGAAATATTTCCAGGTGATTAAGCATGAGTTTTTAAAAATAATATTTGATATTCGCTACTATGGCAAAGATCACATTTGATAGAGAGAACACAAACCTTCAGCAGCCTCTTTACGAGCAATATTAGCCTTCATGAGATCTGCTGCAGCTTCGGCAGCTTCAATTCCAGCAGCACCTGTACAATAGCTGTTCCGGATCGTTTGTTTGCAGCACTTATAACCCCATTGATGATCCTTCCACCAAGAGCCCCAAACACTAGTGTGGTTGTTGGTGTACACATCTTCTTCATACTTGCTCCTTGGAAGGGCTGTCTCCTGCATAAGGCGTACCACTCACCAGGTTAGCTCTATATAAAAACTTGGAATAACTACTGAAAATTAATTAATAGCATGGCATTCTGTCATATTTGATTTCAAAGTTATATCACACAAAATCCTCAAGGTTCCCACAACTCCTTTCCATTTGAGAGAAAGAGAGTCATAGGCTAAAGCAAATAACAGTATCATGTCTGGGAAAGTACTTAGAAAACTATGATTCCATTCTCATAAGAACTCAGGAGAGAGGTACACCGTACCTGTGTAGTTTGCTAACAAGGGTTAGTCTGAACCGACATCCCCACTATGAAGTGCTATACATATTCATAAAAATTTCACTTTGTTGATCATTTAGGTAATATGTAACAGCTAATTGTCTAAAAAAGAGTAGAAAATAAAATTCTCCCCCAAATTTTTTGTTGCTCTCACAAAAAATTGAATCATTAGGACAAGCAACATGGGATAGCCAGTCAGGAGTGACCCTTCAGGGAAAAAAGAACCAATCGCCAATCCTCAAGTTCAGTATTTACCTAATGCAGCAGGTGTGCTGCCGTGGTGTATCACTGAGTTTGGTTTTGAGTTATTTATTTATCATGAAGCAGTAAATATTGTCAGCATGCATTGTCAAGACCTCCACAGACACAGAATCAATACATTAGATTATTATATTGTAAACACACTCTTGAATTAGGTCAAGATACTTGCCCCCCAAAAAAAGAATTAGGTCAAGACGCCACATACGCAGACCAATGATCTTGTTTGCTGCAATCCAAGACTTTTTCGTTTTTGGTCATTGCAATTCAAGACTTGAGTGGCAGATATTTGTCTCGAGTTATATATATTTTCTCAATCTTTCTATTTATTTGTTCTTTAAAATTAGAATTTTGATTCCTTTTATATCACAGTTCAATCATTTACATTCAATGGCTTCTATGGAGGCCAAAGTGCTTAAAAAGGTTAACCAAGTGCAGTCAAACCTCTGAGAAACATTAACAAACATCCTCAACTAGATAAACAAATCAAAAGATGAAGCAAAGTAGAAAGAAAATTTACCTGGCCCCTCACAATCCGACCAGCACGGTCATATTCAATTTCTCTTTCGCTTTGTCCCAGTAAAAGCTCTTTTGGAAGTGATTCTTCAGCAGCTGCATTGCCATACTTCTCCATAATAGTCTCCTTCGTTTGGGACTTCAATTTATCCTTATTGATCTTAAAATTTTTATAAAGCAACTCAGCTTGGGATGGAGCTGCTTGCATGTGAATATCGTGTCCTTTCTCAAATGCTTCCCAAGCATGGATGTTAAGCTGCTTGAACTCTAAAGCTTGACCACTTACTCTATTGTGATTATCTCCCTACAGTGCAGAGAAACAAATAAATCAGTATCACAAATCCCAATAAAATAACTACATAACTGAACGACAAAACCTAATGAAAAGTTTACAATCTTGAGTTTACTCACTGTATAGAACTTCTCATTTGGATCCATATCAGGAAGAGGATCCTCGCGCATTGACCGGGTTTTGGGATCATAGTGTGCAGAGTTGACATCAAGATTAAGTAGGTATTTTGCAGTATCCTCTCGAATACGCAGGTTCCTGAAAACAAAAGGAAATGCATAAAAAATGTGTTTTCAGACATCTCACAAACAAATGAGATAGCAACTTCACAAAACCAACAAGCACTGCCATGCAAATCTACATCATTATCAATACTATTCGAAAAGAGCAACCAACCTCATCCCTCCCCAACTTGTAGCCACGAGATAAATATTTAAACAAATAAAAATAAGGAGAAGAGATGATAGACAAAACTCACCTAACAGTTCCAGTACTTCCACCACCTGTAGTCCGGACACGCTTCTCAACCTTCGCAAAGTCCATCTGTTTGCTCTCATCAACCTTGGCTTCATCTACTTTAAGAGCATCCTCATTGTCTTCATCGTCACTAACCCCATCTTCTCCACTTTGGTTACTGTTTTTCTCCTCCAACTTCTTAAGTTGTTGTTCTTTCAAGTATTTCCTTCTAGCTTCATCCCTTGCTTCATATCTATCGATCACATGGACATAGGTTGCTGCATCGTAGCCATTCCAGCGGTCACGTTTGCCATCATAATCCAGTGCAAAGGTTTCTATTTTCTCATCCGGTGCAATATTCTTGTTTGTCCACTTTGCACCCAATTTACGGGGCCTTTCCATGCATTCCTTTGCATTGTGTGACATAGCTCCACAGCTGTAGCAAGCACATAAGAAGCTCCATGTTTAACATTAGGTTGCCAATTCACCATACATGGACATGACATATTTTTTTGTTATGCAGAAAAGGCACATTTAACAATTTCAAACTCATAGTTTAAATATCCAAAAGAAAGAGTATAATGAATTCTAAATGCACATAGAAACACACATTTCCCAATATCACCTTAATGAGTAGCAAGTCATTCAATCTTGATCTTCCTATATTGATAAACAAGACAAGCACACAGACAAATCTGCCTGCATGCCAACAGGCACACATGCCCACAAAGAGAGAAGGGGAGAAGTGGGGAAGAGTGACAGATAGTAAACAGCCCATTTCAAGCATATCTTACTATGAAATACTCGGAACATACAACAATGTGAAAAATTACCGAGCTATTTTAAAAGCCTTTTAATTATGGAAAAGCCAAAGTTGTATGCCTTATTTTCTTAGCTAATACACTGCTTTTATCCCAGATAATATCTTCAGCAGTCTTTTCTATAAGTAGGGGATAATGTTACATTCCAAATGATTACCTGATTAAGGGTTATAAAAATCTTGAATGGAGTAATAACCTAATTTTGTAGGATGAAGTATGTCTCATTTCACATATTGGTAGATATTAAAACATGCATACCAGCAACCTTTTTCGGTTGTAAATTCAACATGGTGTAGATCATCTAGCCATATTACATAGTAGATTAAAAATGTGCTTCAACTAGATTCTTCATAACTGAAACCCACGGCAAACATCACAAGCAAGGTAGAACAAACTAAAGAAATGGCACAGCTTGAAGATACCATGAAAAAGATAAAGGAAGTTTTCACTTACTTTTCACATGAACCTGGCCTAAACTTGTCGGCATGAAATGTTTTTGCACCTCTGTCATACCATGACTTTGTAAAATTGGGTTCTAATTTCCATTTCCTTTGATGTTTTAAACTCTGAACATCAAAAAAAAATTCAAGAAATTCAATCTCCAGCATGTATAACAACTGAAAGTGTACCACACAATGGGAAAACAGATGACATACAGGTCTCTCAGCATTGAGATACCAAGGTGCAGATGACATATACTGAGGAATATGAGGATTGATTTCTTTCCCATCCTCATCAACCTCAGCTGGTGCAAGCCCAGCCTTACGTGCTTCTTCCAATTCCATCTGCTTTCGATGGTCCTCCCGAGATTTAAATGCCACTGTAATCCCCAAAAAGAAAAATATATTATTCCTTTGAGGCAAAAAGGAAAGAAAATGCAGAAATATGAAGAAAATGTTCAAATAACAACATTTTGACAAGAATTAAGGTATGCAGCAGAAAACATAAGAAATTCATTCTTCCCAAGCATATCATGATGGTAGCTTCGATCCCAGAACTTCATACACAAAAATTCTTAAGTCCATATCACTAATTCTCATAACTAATTCAAATTTCTCATTCAAACAGCAAAGCGAAGCAAAAATACACATGACAGGCATCAAACCTACTAAAACACTCTTTACATAATTTCTATTTTATAAAGCAATCAAATTTTATAATTAAACAAACTCCATTTTAAGAATCCCGAACTAAAAGGATCACAATCTCAATCCCCAACACCACTAAATCAAAACAAAAGGAAATCAATGAACTTGACTCCGATTCAAAACTTAATTCTCATGCCCTATTTGTTCCAACAGAAAATACTAGTGCCTAATGAATACGCAGAGACAGAGATCATAAAACAGGAAAAAAAAATATTTTTCAAATGGATAATCGTAGCAATCGAACAAAAGAAACTGAGATCATTAGATAATGTGTGCATAATAAAAAGGGAGAAGGTATATAGTGTCATACTTGACGCAGTCGCCATGATTAACCTCGTAGACGCAAATCCGCGAGAGAGAGGGAGTTGCAATGAATATCGATAATTGCAGAAGAGAAGCCCTAGAGTGAAAAAAACACAGGGTCGTTTCGGTCCTCTTCGAAAAAGGAAATATCGGTTCGGCAGTTTTAAAGGCTCTTTTGACGGTGGCCGAAACCTAACAGACAAGCCCAGCCCATTATTTAGGCCCATTAAAACAAAGGTCCATGCCGGCCTTAACTATAGAAGTTGATGGGCAATAAATAGACAAGTTAATTTTAGAGAAATTTGGAGGCCGGTTGTTTTTTTGTGAATTTATTGGGACTTAAATCCACTTAATAAATTTATTTGTGAATAATTTCATTTTAATTTTCATTATCTCTATCATATCTTTCTACATCTATATATAGATCCGAACTATTTTATCTCTCTCTCCCTATCTCTCTCTCTTTCACACACACATATATATGAGAAAAAATAGTAACATTCAAAATAAAAAAATAATAATATTCAAACAAAAAAAAGTAACACTAAATAGTAACATGTTCGACGAAAAAAATAGTTATATGAGAAAAAGTAGTAACATCTATATTTATATCTATCTATGTTACATATAAATGTTAATATCTATAAAAAAAATTTAATTTTTTAATTTATCCTTAATTAATATTATAAAGTCAATTCTACCCATATATTTACTTTTATTCAATTTTTGTTTTTTATATCTATTTGAGTTCGTTTGGACTCTTGTAGTACTAGAATTTGATTTCTAATAAAAGAGAAAATGTCTAAAGAAGAGATCAAGTGCTGTTAAAATCCCCTGCTCTAGTAGCTCCTCGGAACCCAAAGTCTTCTTCAACTTGTCTGTGTAGTATTTTCTTGGTTTGTTAGTATAGTTAGCCCGTTCTTTGTGTTTTTTTATAATGATTGTTATAGTACACGTAACCTGATAGGGACTATCTGAAAGTGGATGGTCAGAGGGCTTCAGCTATTATTATTAACTCAAAGAGGTAAAATAGATTAATAATTAGATTTAATAATAATTAAAATAAAATTTAATTATTCAACACATAATTTATTATCTAATTAATTTATAAATATAATTTAATTTTTTTTTGTAAATAATATTTTAAAATCAATTCTACCCACATATTTACTTTCATTCATTTTTTGTTTTTATATCTATTTGACTTCTAAACTTTTTTTTTGGACACTTGTATTAGTAGAATTTGATTTCTAATAAAAGAAAAAATATCTAAAGAAGCTAATAAAAAAAAAGAGAGAGATTAAGTACTCAAAGAGGGGTAGAATATATCAATAATTAGGTTTAATAGTAATTAAAATAAAAATTAATTATTCGACACATAATTTAAATTTTTTGGTAAAAAAATTATTCTGCCCCTAATTATTATTATAAAGTCAGTGATATTTACACATTACTTTCATCCAATTTTTATTTCTTATACTTATTTAACTTATAAGTTCCTTTAGATTCTTTTATCAATAATACTTCTAAATTCTTTTGAACTTATTCCATACAATTATATATATATATATATATATGTTCAAATATATGTCATATTTAATTTTTTGGTATGCAACAATATCATATTATAACACAAATAATAGTATTATAATTTAATCAATCTCTTTGATAAAAAAAAATAATAAATCTATAATATAATTAGATGTATAAATACTTAATGACAATCTTACAATGAAGTTACATTATAAATAAAAGAGAAAACGTCCGATAAGAGATACCTAAAAAATAGCATATTAAATACTAAAAAAATAGTAGATATATTTATAATTAGGTTTAACAATAATTAAAATAAGAATTAATTATTCAATTTAATTACATATAAAATTTATTTTTTTTATAAAACAAAAATTTATTTAAATATGTTCACGTTGAATGCACGGCATTATAATAAAATATGAGCGATGAAAAAATAAGTTTGATAAATTTAAGATGATATTTAATTTAGATATATATATACTTTAACATTTTTTATTAATTTTTATGTACAAAAACAACACAGCCAGTAATAGATCTTCTATCAGAAGGGTCTCCTACCCAGTCAGCGTCAGATTAGACAGTAAGGGAGATTCGAGAGGCAGAAGAATAATGCAAATCACGATAAGGAGTCCCTTGAAGATATCTGAGGATTCTCTTGACAACTGAGCAGTGAACTGAAGTGGGTGAATGCATGAATTGACAGACTGAATTTATAGCAAAGGAAATATCAAGTCTAGTAAAGGTGAGGTATTGAAGTGCTCCCACGATACTGCGATATTCAGAGGAATCAGCTAAAGGAGAACCTTCAATTTTGGCAAGTCTAGTGGAGAAATGAGGAGCGAGACATGGTTTACAAGAAGCCATGTTAGCTTTCCGAAGAAGATCAGTCAACTATTTTATCTCAGAAAGAAAAAGTCCAAAAGTTGTATGAGTAATTTGGATGCCCAGAAAATAATGAAAAGGAACCTAGATCCTTCATTTTGAAGACCCGATGTAAGTCTGCAATAAGAGTAGTAATAAAAGAAGGGGTGTTGCCAGTGATGCTAATATCATCAACATATAAAAGAAGATATGTAAGAGAAGAACCAAATTTTTGAATGAACAAACAGCAGAGGAAACAAAACAACAAGAGAACAAATGAGTGGTGAAGCTCTCAAACCAAGCTCTTGAGCTTGTTTGAGTTAATACATGGATTTATGCAGTTTGCACACATGCTGTGGAAAAGCTGGATCATGAAATCTTGGAGGTTGTTGTGCATAAACTTCCTCCTTAAGAAGACCATGAAGAAAGGAATTCTTCACATCAAGTTGTCTTAGAGACCATTTAAACTGCACAGCTAGAGATAGAACAGTTTGGTTGTTACATGTTTAACAACAAAACTGAAAGTCTCTTCATATTCAAGACCTATTTTTTTATGGTAACCCTTAGACACTAGCCTAGCTTTGTATCCAGAGATAGAGCCATCTGGATTATGCTTGAGCTTATAGACCCACTTACACCCTATAACATTCTTGTCAGATAGAGGGGGAACAAAGCCCATGTATGTTGTCTATGAAGAGCACTGAATTCATCTTGCATTGCTACACATCAAACAAAAATTTTGGAAGTAACTGTAAAAAGATGTAGATGAAGTAGTAAGATGGACCCTGGGCTTAAAAATGCTTAATTTCGACCTGGTTTGCATGCATTGAGTATTTTGAGGAGGTAAGGAAAGAGAAGAAGACTAAGAACCCAAAGCAGAATCTTCAGAGACTAAAGGTAAAGAAGGGGATTCAGAGACTGAAGATTGAGAAGATTTAGAGGAACTAGAGAACAAGGGATTGAGTAAAAGTAAGGGTAAAGAGGTAGTAGAAGAGTATCCTGGTCTTGGACCACGAATAGAAGATGGACAAGAAAATGGTGCAGAAGTAGAAATAGGAAAGATGGAGAAGAAAATGGTGCAGAAGTAGAAATAGGAAAAACGAAGGGAAATACTGATTTATCAAACACTACATGTCTGGAGACATGAAACTTCTGTGAGGTAGGATCAAAACACAAATATCCCTTACAATCTTTGGTTATTCTTTGGCATAACCAAGAAACAAACATTGAACTGTTTTGGGTTGAAGTTTATATGTATTGAGAAGATGAAGATAGGGGGTAGCAAGCACAACCAAAAACTTTGAGGTGACTATCTAGACTAATTTTTGTTATAATTAATTTGAGAAGAGTCTGAATTATAACATCTGTTATTTTTAGGCATTCAACCGCTGCCTTTGTTATTATTTTGTCTCTCTCTTCCACGATTTGGATTATGATTATAGTAACCCCTTCCTTGAGTATGATTGTGATTATACTGATTAGATCTAGAAGACTGAGCAAAGAACTTAGAATTATATGTCACTTTGGCTTACTGAGCCTTCTCCCTTACTATTGCGGTTACCATTGCAAGAGCTTGAGTCTGCTTACTTGCAAAATCAATAGTAGTCCCCTCTGCTTGAAGTAACACATGAAGATCTTCAAGTGAAATAGGTTGAGATTTGGTGCCAATGGAGCTGCAAAAAGCACTGTACTCAGAAGACAAACCATTTAGTGTGTAGATTAAAATATCCTCATCATTAATCAAGGTTAAGGCCGCTACTAGTTTATCTCTGATTTCCTCAATTTCTGAATGTATTTATCAATTGGTTCTGATCATTTGGTGATTGTCTATGACTTAGTCTTCAATTGAAGGATATTTGCTCGAGAAAGAGATGAAAATCTCCTTTCTAGAGCTTGTCAAACTTCTCTTGCTGTTGTGAAGCCAACAACATATGAAAGTGCAGTAGATGATAATGTTGCATTGATCAAAGTGATCAATGCTTGATCCTGAATTGACCATGCTTGATACTCTAGATTAAGAGTAGAAGTGGTTTGTCCACTATCATCAATAAGAAGCTTATTTGGACAGGAGATAGATCCATCAAAGAAGCCTAGTAAAGAATGTGCTTTCAAGATTGCTAAAATCTAGTATCTCCACAGAACATAGTTTGTAGAATCAAGTCAAATTGAAATTAAATTGGAGGTATTAGAGAGTAAGAATATCAAAGAATGAGAAAAGGTAGAATTAGTTGAAATAGATAAGTGTGCTGAGGCAGTTGAACTAGTAGGAACAACAATTGCTAAAGAAGATGAAGCTGCCATTGATGAACCTGTGAGGTCTCAAAACTTGGCTCTGATACCATGATAAAAGGGGAGAGGTAAAGAAGAAGACTCATAGCTTTGGAAACTCAAAATCACACTTATTGTATTATCATTGCTTTATTTTTATACAAAGAAGTAGGTAACTTACTGTGTGTGTGCAGGATCTTACACAATATAAATATGAGAACAGATCTCTCCTGTGGTGAATTCGAGTTAGTCAATCAAATGGTCAACCTTGTTATTGGGAACAGCCTGTGAGGTCCTGTGGTAACCTGGAACGATAATGGAAGACTCACGTGGATCAACAGAGCGATCCAATAAGGCTGAGGAAAGTTCCTGGAACAAAGAAAGACAAGTTAGAAGGGCGCCGAAGTGTTTTCCAGCGTATCCCCTCCGACAATCAAGTCAGTATTTGAGAGGGGGGAAGAAG